GTCCTGGCCCCACCGGTGGACCTCCTGATGGCACTGGTATTTCTGGCCACTGTGTGATACAGAGTGTTGGACTGGATGGGCCTTTGGCCTGATCCAACATTGGCGTCTCTTATGTTCTTATGTTCTTATGTTTTATCTGATCTAACCCGACTGCTCAGCGATTTCATTGAGTGCCCATGAGTTCTTGTACTGTGAGAAAGGGAGAAAAGTACCCATTTCTCCACCTGCTCTATCCCATGCACAATCTTATAAACCTCAATCATGTCACCCCTCAGCCGTCATTTCTCCAATTTGAAAATGTCTATCTCCTTTCTCTGAGGAGCTCAGGACATGGTTCTCTAGGGTTGCCAGTTCTGGGTTGGGAAATATCTGGAGATTTTGGGGGTGCAGACTGGGAGGGCAGGATTTGTGGAGGGAAGGGTAGCAGGCTCATAGCTATGGAGGGGGTTTGGGGGGCTCCACCCCCTTTCTTAAAGGCACAGCCCCACAAGAATTTCTCCTGTAAATGCTTTTTATCAATCATTTAAAAACTTTTTTAAAAAGGTGTGCGCTCCTTTACGCAAAGTGGGGTGCCGTAGTTGACTAATTCCCGCACTGAGGAAGGGGGTTGGAGTAGGTGACCTCTAGGATCCCTTCTAACTCTGTGTCAAGAAACTGGTCTCCTTTCAGAGAGTTTTTCTGCCTACGTGTTAGCTTCCTTGACTATAGAAGTCATCACCCCCACTTGCCAGCATGTTATCAGAATTGTTGCTTAGGCTGGCAGAAGTGATTAACTTGGACCAGCTGAGAACTGTCATCTGAATTGGTTGACAGCTTGCAGTTTAGAGATCTATCCTGGTAAAAACTTTCTATTGGCTAAATGGCTTTTCTTTCTGGACTGAGAACTTCAGCCCCACCAGAAAAAAAATTACCCCACGAGCCACAAAATCCTGGCCACGGGCCTGAAGGGGATTCAGTGGGCTATAATGCCATAGAGTCCACACTCCAAAGCAGCCATTTTCTCCAGGGTCTTGGTTGTCTGGAGATCAACTGTACTAGTGGAAAATCTCCGGGTCTCACCAGGAGGTTGGCAACCGTATGGTTCTCCCTTCCTCAGTTTAGTGTTACAACAGCTCAGTGAGTAGGGCGTAGGGTTGCCAAGTCTCCCCTGGACATCAGAGGGGGATGGGGGGGTAGGGTTGCCAGATGCAGGTTGGGAAACTCCTAGAGATTTGGAGGTGGAGCCTGAGGAGGACAGGGACCACGGGGGAGGGGGGGCACCATGCCATAGAATCCACAAGCAGCCATTTTCTCCAAGGGAACTGATCTCTGTAGTCTGGACATCTGTTTTAATTTCAGGGGAATTCCAGGCCCCACCTGGAGGTTAGCAGCCCTATAAAGTAGCTTGGTCCGAGGGAGAATGACTGACCAGCAAGCTTTGCAACGTAATGGGGATTTGAATCCAGGTCTCTCAGATACTAGTCTGACTCCCTAACCACTACACCAGGGGTCCCCAATCTTTGGGAAATTCCTGGATATTTGGGGATGGAGCCAGGAGAGGGCAAGGTCTGGGGAGAGGAGAGACCTCAACGGGGTATCATGCTGTAGAGTCTTCCCTCCAAAGCAGCCGTTTCCTCTGGGTGAACAGAGAGCCAGAGTGATGTAGTAGTTAAGAGCAGTGGACTTCGATGTGGAGAATTGGGTTTGATTCCCTGCTCCTCCTCCATGTGAAGCCTGCTGGGTGACCTCGAGCCAGTCCCAGTTCTCTCGGAACTCTCTCAGCTCTCTCACTTCTGGGTGATGTCACGTGACATTCCCTTCCACCTCCCGGAATGCCCCCTCCCCAAAGCCCTCCGCTGGCAGAGGTAAGGGACAATGTTCCCTCTAAGCTGTGGAGTCTTGTGAGCAAAAATTCTAGTGTGTGAGCTACTGGCATTAAAGTTGTGAGCGAGCGAGTTGGCTCCGGCATAAATTAGTTTGCTCTGGAGCCATCCTTCCTGAGCGAAGACAAAAATGTGTGAGCCAGAGGCGAAAAGACTGTTGGCTAGCTCACACTAACTCAGCTTAGAGGGAACACTGGTAAGGGACCTGGCGACCCTATCTCCACACTACAGTGGTCAGTTCCCCTGCAGAAAACGGTGGCTTTGGAGAGTGAACTCTATGGTACTATACTCTGCTGAGGTCCCTCCTCAGACCCCACTCTTCTCTCTCTCTCCCACCCCCCCACTCCCTCTCTCAGCCTGACCTACCTCACAGAGTGTTTGTGAGGACAAAGATGGGTGGGGAAACCGTGTATGTCACGCAGAGCTACTTGGAAGAAAGATGGGATAGAAATGTGGTATCAAAAAGATATTATGCAAAAAAAAAAAAGCGAAGTTATGCCATTTACGTAAATGTTACTGGTTCCAGAATTCAGCTTCTCAGGTGTTTGTTTTTTTTAATGAAGCCTTGATTTCAGATGCCTCCCCCCCATCTTTAGAGATGCTGAGGAAAGTATGCGGACCTTTACATCTAATTCTAGCCACCGGCCAAAAATCTAAAATTTTGCCCCCCCCTCCCCCCGGACTAGGTTTGCCAACCTCCAAGTGGAGCCTGAAGATGTCTTGGAATTACAACCAATGTCCAGATTGTAAGGAAGCAGAAGAGAAGAAGAGTTGGTTTTTATACCCCACTTTTCTCAAGGAGTCTCAGAGTGGCTTACAATCTCCTTCCCTTCCCTCTCCCCACAACAGGCACCTTGTGATGTGGGTGGGGCTGAGAGAGCTCTGAGAGACCTGTGACTTGCCCAAGGTCACCCAGCTGGCTGCATGTGGAGGAGTGGGGAATCAAACCCAGTTCCCCACATCAGAGTCCACCTCTCTTAACCACTACACCCTGTTGGCTCAACCCACAACAAGCCCCCTTGTAAGGCAGGTGGGGCTGAGAGAGTTTGGGGAGAGCTGTGACTGGCCCAAGGTCACCCAGCAGGCTTCACATGCAGGAGAAGCAGGGAATCAGACCCAATTCTCCACATCGAAGTCCACTGCTCTTAACTACTACATCACTCTGGCTCTCTGTTCACCCAGAGGAAACGGCTGCTTTGGAGGGAAGACTCTACAGCATGATACCCCGTTGAGGTCTCTCCTCTCCCCAGATCTCGCCCTCTCCTGGCTCCACCCCCAAATATCCAGGAATTTCCCAACCCGGAGCTGGCATCCCTACCCTTGACAATGCTAAGATGGTTCTCCTGACGCATCCTCACCTCCCAAGTCTCACATCGCCCCCAGCAGGCATCGGTGGTGATGCGCATCGGCCGGCATCCAGGTTTCTTGGCCAGGAAGGTGAACTCCCGGACGGCGCAGCCGATGAACGTCTTCAGGTTCACCTTGGAAGGTTTGGAAGATTTGGGGGCCGGGACGCAAATAGCCAGGAACAAGAGAGACACCGAGCTCAGCAGCGCCACCTGGGGGAACTTCATGCTGCGAAAGAAGCGGGAAAGCCATCTTTGCTATGGGCGGACTGACAGAATTTGAAAGCGGTTTCCCCTCAGAGCTCCAGAGTCTGACAGCCCGACAGTAAACATTTTTAAAAATTAAAAGATAACAAACAGAAGACGGTTTCCGTTCCGTAACAAGAACGTCCAGCCACGGCAAAAAAATAATTGAGCAAAGGAAATGGAAATGTGAATGATCAGAAGAACTCAACTGAAACAAAGGTTTTCACACCGTTAATGGTAAATCAGTACAGTCCGAGCCAAAACGAGTTCTTGAGGGAGGCCATTCCACAGCTCTTGTTAGCCAATTCTAAGAAGACACGGCCACATATATTAGTTTCCGCATGTGTCGGAATAAAGAGCAAGGCCTCTCCGGCTGATCTTATTTATTTAATTCATTTGTACGCGACTTGTCTCCACAATGGGGACCCAAAGCAGCTTACATCATTCTCCAGTTTGGTGTCGTGCTTAAGAGCGCGGACTCTCATCTAGGAGAACCAGGTTTGATTCCCCACTCCTCCACATGCAGCCAGCTGGGTGACCTTGGGTCAGTTACAAGTTGTTTCAGAGCTGTTCTCTCGTGAGCAGTTCATGAGAGAGCTCTCTCAGCCCTGGCCAGTTTGGTGTAGTGGTTAAGTGTGCAGACTCTAATCTGGAAGAACCGGGTTTGATTCCCCACTCCTCCACTTGCAGCTGCTGGATGACCTTGGGCAAGCCATAAATCTGTCAGAGCTGTCCTTGAAAAAGAGCAGTATCTGTCAGAGCTCTCTCAGCCCCACCATCCTCACAGGGTGTCTGTTGTGGGGAGGGGAAGGGAAAGGAGTTTGTAAGCCGCTCTGAGACTCCTCCTCCTCCTTCTTCTCTTCTCCTCCTCCTCCTCTTCCTCCATTTAAACCTCACAACAACCCTGTGATGTGGCTCAGGCTAAGAGAATGTGACTGGCCCAAGGTTACCCTGTGAGCTTCCATGGCATGAGTGGGGATTCGAACCCAAGTCTCCCAGATACTAATGTGATACTCTTACCCACTACAACACACTGGCTTCATGAATTTTTAGTAGCTTCATGTGGGAGACACTGTTCCTGGGGCCCGGAGCCCAGATCATTTAGGATTTTACAGCTACAACTATCACTTTGAATTTGTCCTAAAAATATGGATAACCTTTGGCATTCGATCGAATTCGACATTTGATCAGGCCCATTAAGAATTCAAATAACCGCAGCTGGCACTTATTGACCTGACTCGTGCTTCATGCCAGTGAGGTGTAGTAGTTATGAGAGGCGGGCTCTGATCTGGAGAACCGGATTTGAATCCCCA